GGGAGGGGGTGTGGGGTTGTATTGAAGTCAATGGCACAGCAGCCATGCCCCCCGCCCACAGTGCGATCGCCTGCACCCGGAACGCAGGCACATTAGTGCCTGCATTCCGGTCCAGTGCGATCTGCAAAAATAATGCTTGCAGCATTTTTGCAGATCGCACTGGACTCGAACGTAGGTACTAATGTGCCTGGGTTCCAGCGATCGCCCTGTGGGCCAGAGGCCTGCCTGCGTTGCCATTGACTTCAATGCACCGCCACGCCCCCTCCCGCCCCTGGATGCAGGTGTTTTTTCGTTGGTAGATCTACAGACGAAAAATTGCGGGCGCCCCTGCCCTTCATAAATCCGTGGTCACATCATGTGCTAGGTCATAAGTCTTCTATTTTCTTCAATGCAAAGACAGCTCCTCTTTTAGTTGTCCCCGTCACTGCCTGAGTGATGAGGAAACTTCAATTTGGATGTCCATCAAAGAAATTCTCAGACTACAGAAGACTGCATCTGCATTATGTCATCATGAAGTGCAGGATAACCAGTTGTCACTCCTGGAGTGAAGCCGGCAATTAACATGAATGGCAGAAATGGGTAGGTATAACAAAGGCTTCGGAAGAGTTCTCTTTGAAACAAGTGCGTAGGGGGGATTTGCTTGAAGAAGGGCTTTAAAAGCAGGTACCATAAGGCATTTAGCTATGGCCAGCCTAAAGCTAAGCAAAGAGGGAAATCGATCATTAAAACCTCAAACAAACTGCTGACCGGTAGACTTGCCAGTGCTCTAATGCATGCTGGGAGATCTCCCAATTACCGCCACTGAAGCAGTACTGCGTGGCACCCCCTTATCATAGCTGATTATTACTTGTCAGCAGAGATGAGTATAAATTCTTAGCCTGTATGATGTCAGGTCACAGATAGCATATTCCCAGTGTGACGCGGTGAGATTGTCAAACAGTAGTTTGTATCGTGCGGCACACCTTTTCTTGCACTTTGAGGCTACTGTGTTCCAGGCAAAGATCATGACAGGTCACGGCTAAGCACTGATTGGAAAGAAGATGTCTCGTCACCAGTTGCTATCAGTAAGCCATCTGCCAGTTTATGGCCAAACTTACACAAAATAAAACAGTGACATTTACATGACACCAGATCATCTTATGGACTTGTCCTAATATGCTGGTCCCAAATCTTACAATAATGGCATAAAGAACACAATGCCCTTTACCTAGTCCTCACTGGAGTTATATTTCCCGAATCGCCTTGTATTGATCGTTCTTCTAGGGTCCAGCACTCAATTAATTCTTGAGGAACTCTCCAGTAGCTGAATCCTAAGGGGGAAAAAAAAAAAATGTGTCACATGACAGCAGAACATACATTAAAATATAGAGTGTAATGTGCAATAGGTTAAAAAAAACCGGCACTGGTAAGGGGATCTGTCCCATCCAATACTTTATTTGTAAAAAGGCATAACAGCAGCAAACAAATGCTAACATGTTTCAGCCCCCAAACCGGGCCTTAGTCGTAGCATAGTTTTTATAAATAAAGTACTGGATGGACGGATCCCCCTGCAAGTGCCGTTTTTTTAACCTATTTCTCAGTGAAGGCTCCGGCGGAAGCTTTACCAGGCACCGAAGTTCAAGCAGCAGGACTGAAGACAAGAGGGTAGAACTGCTCAATGTTTCTAAACTGCTACAGAGTGTAATGTGCATTGTAAAGGTTTCAACCACCGAATCATTCCCAGCATGTTTTACCTCTTCCTTCCCAGTTTTCAAAAGCATCCATCATGGCTTTCAGCTCAGATATGCTGTAGTAGCTCAATATGTACTGAGTGTTACCACCGGCCTCCCTGTCAGGATGAACAGAGAACAGTTTGAAGCTTAATGCACTGAGTTTCAAGTATTTACATATAGATTTACTACAGTCTTTATAGAAAATTGTAAAATAATGAAATATATTAGTTATGTCAGGATGACTATTTTCTAGCCTACATGACATTTTATGACCAACAACTCAGTGAAAGTATATGTCAACCCAATCACTAAAATCTTATATAATATTCCATCATTTGAAATCTACAGCTTTCATTCAAATAATACTTGCTAATCTTGCCATGTAGGTCCTTGTATAGGCATTTCCTGTTATTGGGCGATAACGTTCTGTCCCTGCCTTCCAACTGCTCTCCTGAGTTGTTACCCTGTCACATGTGCTTCCAGTGTAAACTACAAGTGGACACAAATTGCACAAACATGGCTCACTGTTGTCACCATCAGGACACCCGTGCTGCTTGCGCTAGTGCATGTAGACAGGAAATGGCTAAGAAAAAGCTGGAGAAGATCAGCAGCACTGAGATGTTCTGCCACCCATTCCTCTGATCTTTGCTCTGCTTAACAGCTATGGCTGACTGTAGAATCTTCAGATTGGACATTTCCACCAGTGTCCCCTGCCACATACTGTAGTTCCTTCAGTAGACCTCTAAGTCACTATTATGTCCCTGAAGTGACATATATATGTCCAGCAAAAGGAAGCACAGAGTGCAAGAGGGGAACTTGCAAAAGTGTGTAAGATGTAAGGAGGCCAATGCTCTGCATGAGAGCAAAGGTCGGAGGAATGAGCAGTGGGACAGGTACAGCTTGATAAGCAGCATATGTATCTACATAAGCAGTATGGGTTCTTCCTGATCAGATAGGCCATGCTATTTATAAAACTGCCACAGAAAGTAATGGCAGTCATATGACAGAAGAGTCCAAACGCAGATTGCCATTAGACTCTATGGCATGTCTTCATGCTCTATGAATCTAGGTGAAATAGATTGCAGGCTGTGGCAAATGTGAGCTGACAGGGTAGCAGAAAGAAGCGCTGAACTGAAATACGGGATGCGAACAAGGTTTTTGTTGCTAGGAAGGGGAAAGGTTGCTTAAAGGGCACTTATCCTTTAAGAATTAGTAGTCTTCTTTATAATGTAAAGCCTAACTCCAGCCAAGTCTTTTTTTTTTATTGCTGGAGAGATTTCAGCTCACTTCCCATCCATACAACAGGGCAAGAAAGAAGAGTGGATAGGATGTTACTGGAACAGAAAGACACAGACAGTAATAATAACCTGACAGAACTTCTAACAAGCCCCAAAATATATAAAAACTTACTCCACCGTCACATAGTGTTACCTTTTGTACATATGTTTATGATTGATTCGATTTCCCAGCTGTTGCCGAAGAGCTGAATCTCCATCTTCTCTAGTTGCATAGATGCCAATGATCCTACTTTCACAGCTGGAGCCACACGTGTGTAAGTAATGTAACACCCACACTGTAGGCTTTGTGCATATAAGGCCGTAAGAATCACAGAAGTCAAACAAAACCTAAAAGAAGCATCAGTGAAAAGAACGTAAACCCAAGTTCATCCTTTTCATATTCATACCTGTAATATATCTGTTGTGACTTCTTCATGTTATCTGTTGTCATTTCCATTTCCTTATCCCTTTTCCATACTTCTTTCTTTTGCTGCATCTCTCCCCCCAATGCAGTGGTACCTCAGTTCACGACTGCTTCTGTTCGCAGACAATTCGCTTCGGCAAAATGTTGCTTCGGTTCGCGAACTTCGCATTGGGTGATGAACACAACCGCAGCCATCTTCCCTGCTCTGACACATGGCTATGGCTTCCTCTAGTCCAGATCGCGGTCTGATCACAGTTTGATTCGGTTCACAACCAGTTTGTGAACCGAGGTGCCACTGTACTTCCTGGTGCACCAAATATTATTGTACACATAGAAGCCCCTATGTACAAAAACTGGAGATCATGATCATACTAGCTAATTGTAGCTGCTAATCAAGCATAGTTAGCATGATAGCAGACTCAAAAGGAGGCAGTCACTGTACAGAGTTTAAAAAAATCTTTTTATAAAGGTGCACAGAGCCTACATGATAGAATATGCTAGATACGCTTTAACAAGGGATTGCATAAAAACTAGGGATGCACTGATACTGGTTTTTCGGTATGGAGTACGATTACCGATACTTTTTTTTCGGTACTCGCTGATACCGAGTACGTGTGCCCAGATTATCAGGAACTCGGGCAGCGGATCATGACCCGTCGCCCAGCTTCCTAAGCCAGTGTTCTAGCAAAAGAACACTGGCTTCACATGCCGAGGCTACCCGGCTTCCTGATTGATCAGGATGCCACACTACCAAGCAACAAGTGACACCGGCTTCCTTTCAAATCAGGAAGCCAGTTGGCACCTCATGACACACCTCCCGGCTTCCTGATTAGCTAGGAAGCCGGCTTCACTTGTTCCTAGGCAGCCTGGCTTCCTGACCAATCAAGAAGCCGGGTCGTTACATGCCACGCGGCTTCCTGCTTGGTTAGGAAGCCAGGCTGCCTTGCAACAAGTGAAGTCGGCTTCCTAGCCAATCAGGAAGCCGAGAGGCGGGTCATAACCCACCGCTCGGCTTCCGGATTGGGAAGGAAGCCGGCTCCATGATCACTCGCGGTCAGAGGGAGATGTCCCTCTGACTGGAAGTTCAGTATCAGAGGTGAGTATTGGAGCATTTGGGCGAGTACTCGTACTCACCTAAATACTCAGTATCGATACCGATACCGATACTAGTATCGGTGCATCCCTAATAAAAACAATTTAAAACCGTACTTCATATACTTGAAAATGACAAAATAGACAACCATTAATTTCAGCTAAAGCCCAGTTCCAGCCACCAGCCATCCAGTTGAAGCCTAACTCCAGCCAATGTTTCATTTTATGTTGGATAGGGCAGGGAAGAGATAGAGCTTCTTTCAGATATTTATTACAGTTTGTGTATTTATTGGAGAGATTTCCACTCACTTCTTGCTCCTAAGGCCACTGTGTCTGGAACAGGGAGTGAAATCTCCCCACTGGTAACGTAGACAGTAATAAAAGTTTGATGTGCTCTAACCCAGGAGTGTCCAATCCAGGAGCCGGCAGGATATTTTAAGAGACAGCTATATTGACAAGAAGTAGAGAAAACCTAAAAAGTTAGGCACCAGCTGTCATTTTTAAGAAGCATTGGCTACCTGGATTCTGGCCCTGTTCTAACGCTTTCACACTAAAAACTGTATAACATCTGCTGGTTGTGTCCCTTTTGGAGATTTCTGCACACTTCGCAGCTTAGTGATGACCATAGCTGGGACAGCAAGTGAGAAATATTCTCTCTGATGGGGATGCAGGGAGCCCTGATAGCCTGAGATTAACCTCTCCCTTACCGTGTCCAAAACACCTGGCTGTAAGTCATTGTTGTGCATGAATGGAGTTTATGCTGTTTGCAGATTACCACCTTGTATGCTCTGGGAGGCAGGAGCCAAACTCCTGCTTCCTGCTTGTCACAGTTGCTCATAACATCATCCTGTCGACAAGCTTTCTAACATTTAAAAAAAATAATGTAATGCAGAACTAAAAGTAAACAGAAATAAAAGCCTAACAGAGGTTCAAAACCATTCCCACATTACCTAAAAAGTAAACATTGTGGCTGGAGTTTAACTGTAGCCTATCCAGCTGAAACTAACAACCTAACCCTCAGTAGGAATAACAGTAATCAAACAATGGCATCACACACCTTTCTAAGCTCCAAGTTTGAGTTAGAAGAATGGGTCTCCATTTCATTGGCCAAATGTTCAGGGAGACTGTAAGGGTAAGGAATTCCAAAGTAATCGGCCTCCTCTTGTAGAGCAATTCTTGTCTGTTCATCGCTGGGAATTTGGATTTCTCCATGTAAGTAGTCTAGGATGTATCTAAACAAATCTCCGCTTCTATTAATAAGGCAAAAACCTGCAGTGAAAGGGAAGTCAATGACGGGATTATCTTTGCGTTAAAATATTTCATTGTGAACACTAATAAAAGCAGATATTATTCACTTAAAGGAGAACAATGAGGTGAGTGCTTTTCACTCACCTCATAGTTCTAGCCGACCTGTGACAATGAGACTGTCACAGGTCGGCTCAGTAGATCGGGAGGTGAGCGAACACATACCGGCGTTCGCTCACCTCTCGATCCTGTCACGGCTCTCTGCCGTGACAGGGCAGGGGCTGGATTCCCCCCTCCCCGACCTGCCAGCGCTGACTGGCGGAACGGACGGGGGAGGGGGCGGGTACAGCTGGCTCTGCCTCTAGATAGGCAGAGCCACCTGTCACTCACGCAGCTGGGCGGCTCCCGACATAATTGTCGGGATCCGCTTCAGCTGCGGCGTCTCAGTATATCGCGAGCTACAGCTCGCAGTATACTGAGCCTAGGGTGACGGGAGGACGCTAGTTTGTGTCCTCCCGTTACCCTAAGGAGAACTATGGGGAAAACCTTAACCCCATAGTTCTCCTTTAATCCAGATGTCCCTAAAATACATAATATCAAAGGAATTCTGCTCATATTTTACCGATAATTTTGTAGCTGGAATGAACCTAGGTGGCACGTTTTGCTAAAGACAGCTTTATTCCATGGGGGTCCATTTACTGAACACATTTTTTTAGCTTTCATACACTCCTTGTAAAGGACCCCATATTGCCTTTAGCAAGTCACAGCCCCAATGTATTGTTAGGCATTTTGCCAGTAAAGTTAGTTGAATAAGGGTCCTTGGCAAGGAGTGTAAAAATGCTTAAAGTAGTATTAAGGTCTGGGAGCGTTTTTTACCCTAAATCATTCTCTGCATTAGGGTAGGGCGCTGCCGGCCCCGAACGATCCTCCGTTCCCCGAACTCCTGGGTTGCGGGGGAGGATACTGATGGCAGAAGAGCCGTAGGCTCCTTCTGCCATCAATCAAAGAAGGAAGGGGCGTGGCCTGCCACAGGGCTGTGTGTGTCTATGGACGCACACAGCCGCTGCGGGGACTAGAGGAGACGAGTGTGCACGGGTGCCTCCATTAGAACGATGGTGGGACCCGTGCAGGGGGTGGGGGTGGGGGAGAGCATGGCAGGGACACACTAGAAAACTAGGAATGAAGTACTTTAAAAAAAAAAAAAACAACAGCCTCCAGCAAATAAGGGTCTCCTTATCACTTTAAAGTAGAATTAAAAGCTCAACTTTATCAATACTGAATCCAAACCTGCAAATCCATACCTGCAGAAGGAATCCCAAATGTCAAGTTTAGATGCGGACGCTGTCACCAAGTTAATGTTGAATGGTGGGTGGGAGGATGGAAGCGCAGGCACATGGCAGGGGACACAGGCATTCAAAACTTCCCGAAACTGTCAAATGCTAAAAAGTCTCAGGGAGTCTGCAGTGCTGGAACAAAGGGGAGGTAGGAGACAAAGGCTGCCGGAGAGGTGACTATAATCCCCATTTATGGAAGGGAAGTGCTGTGTCTGCATTTGATGATGGACCTGACCGGCTTTTTTTTTTTTTTAAAGAAACACATTAGTCTAAATATCAAAGCACTATATATACCAACAAGACAAGATTCAAGGTCAGAGGTTTTCTAGGAAGTGCCGTGTTGTGTGGAGAAGTGAATGCTACACCTGCTCTCTGGATCAGAGGTAACCGGCTGATAACAGTGGGGGAAGTGGATGAGAGGGGATTTTATAAGTGGATTTGATTTTTAAGCTTGTGAATGTTTTTCATCTTAGGTTTTCTTATGAGTGTATGACAAACTTTGCCAGATAAAGGAGGAGGAGAAAGTGGATTGCTGAGAAAACTGAGCCTTGTGAACTGGAAGAGATTATTTCTGAGCGCTTTACGACCAGTTTTGATAGCTTGGTCCACCCAATTCGGTGAGTGCGGCTGGAATCAGTAGTGTCGCACACGTTTGGGACGGTGTCACTGGAAGCAAGATAAAGTATTTGCACTTCATGGGGAAAAGTTTTGCACCTTAATATGGACTAAGGATTGTTTCACCAAGGGACTTGAATCATTTTAGCTGAATGCATCTGCAAGCTATTAGCTATTTAAATCAGGTGTGATTGTGAACCACAATTTATTTGCTTAGTTATTGCTACGTATTGCTATTATTCATTTATGCTTACTCATCTGTCTGTATTTTGGGACACCGAAACATTTTTAACGCTTTTATTAAGCTGTTCTTTTATCACAGGGCATTTGTTGGCACAATTCTAAAAGCACTATAAACCTTTAAGAGCAGACTAGTTCAGGTCTCTATACAGAACCTATTGGCAATTCTGCCTTGGTTCCTAACCCAAGTAGCATATTTAGAATGCTAGAAATAGAAGTCAGCAACGGCAGCCTTCGTGTTCTCTAAGAAAAGGTAGCTGCTAACAGGTCTAACATGTAGGCACCTAGTCATCCGTTCTGAATGGGCAAGGTTCCAGCATCTCCTCCATACCAGCCCCCTATATTCCTATTGGGCCATCACTATAATAGACTGGAGGGGGCTGGCAAGATCTGTCACTACAAGGATGCCAGATCCTTGCCAGCTGGTATTTGGCCTTAGCAGATATCAATGAGAGATGCTGCAGGTAGAAGTGTCTGCACATAAAACCCACCTGAAAATGCTAGTTCCCTGGCTCTAGTTCTGACTCTTTGGCGTCAATACTTTGAATCCTGCACCCAGAACAAGTTTGTTAGGATGAGCGAATTTACTGTGATTCTCCAGCCTTCCATACTCGTTCCAGGAACATATTGATGTTCAGAATAACAGCCAAACAACTAGTATTTTGAGAAGTTCAGACCTTACATTTGTAATATCCCCTTTGCACACCATACTGGAACAACTGGTGGATGGCACCACAACATTCAATCTAGACCAGTGGTTCTCAATCTGTGTAACCTCAGGACCCACATTTGTCCTTGGTCATTAAGTCATGATCCAAGTCGCACCGCACTGGAACGCACGGCATTGCGGTAACGCACGCTTCAGTGCGGGCGATTGAACTGTGGGTGAGAGGTGCGTTTGGGGTGCTATTCAAAAGAATGGCAATGCAACACACCTCCCCTTAGCGTGGTACAGTGCGTTAATCGCACGGGACTGCGCAATTAACACACTGTGCTAGTGTAAATGGGCCCTCAAAAACACTGAGGCCCCGTTCACACTGAGCGATTTATCGCGCGGTAATTCCCGCGATATCGCGGCTATTTACCGCGCGATGTCGCTCTCCAATGCTTGGCAATGGGGCAAAGGGTCCTGCTGTCGCGGGTCGTGTGTCGCTACAGCAGGACCCTTTTTGGAGCGGATTTTGCCGCGATTCAATGCTTTTCAATGCAAGCATTTGCGTGACAAATCGCGCAAAATGCAAATCGCGCGACAAACGCGCGTTTTGCGAATCGCCAAGTGTGAATGGGGCCTGACAGTCACACAACCACGATCTCACACACTCACACATATACACTCTTTTTTTTAAGGTACACCCAGTCTCCCAATCTTTACAAGAACCAGAGTGGATCCTCAGCCTGGGGTCCAGTGTGGGCTGCTGTGCTGGGACAGAGCTTCATCCAAATGTGCATTGCTTGTACAGCTCTCTTGCTCACCCTGTAGAGGTGTCGGGAGCTAGAATGTGATGTCACTCCGGTCCAGGCACCTCTACAGGACACGTGAGGGAGCTGTAAGCAATGTAGGTATGGATGGAGCTCCCTCGCGGCCATAGCCCCATCCTGCCCCACCTCAAGCTGAAACTTGGCACCGGGCAGCATATTTTGAATGGCTGCTTGGCGTGAGAACTGATAGTGCAGTGCTAGAGGGAGGCTGAGGAGCCTCTCACCTAGAAAAGTGGAAGGCATGTGGTGACCCACTGAACACAGGGTCGCGACTCACTTTTCGGTCACGACTCACCATTTCAGAACCAAGGCTTTTAAGTAAGACTAACCTCAGGAGTTAGACTTAAAAATGCATTGTCATGTACCTTGGTGTGAGCCTGAAGTGATGAGGAAGATTCCCCTTGCAACTCTCGTCACCAGTTGAAAACCAAGGGTCTACAAGATATGCTGTCCACACACCATTCTGCTTCGGAATATCATCTTTATTTACATTCCGTTTAGCATGACATATAGATGCGAATAAAGATGATATTCCGAAGCAGAATGGTGTGCGGACAGCATACTGTATCTTCTATTTCAGAAATGGCAGACCCCATATTTCTCTCAGGAAAGTTTAAGGTTAATATCAAATATGTAGAGCATAGAAGATATTATACACATGCTGATTTGCACTCTGCAGGCTCTTAAGCTGGCCATACACCTATGGACAATCTGCAGATTTTCGATGGTCAGATGGAAACAGTGCAACAGATTCTTCCATCTATGCTAAACTGAATGGACGGAGGAATCTCCAGTTGGGCCAAGCTTTAGTATCTTGTAACAATGTAGGCATTGTTCAGGTATTTTGAGAGCCAGTGGGGCCGACTAGCAAGATACTGAAGCTTGGCCCAGCGGGAGATTCCTCCATCCACACAGTTTAGCGTAGATGGAGGAATCTGTTGCACTTTTTCCATCTGACCATAAAAAGTCTGCAGATAATCTATAGGTGTATGACTAGCTTTAGGTGGAGGCAATGTTCTTTAAAGAAGAAATATGAGGTGAGTGCTAGTTCTAGCCGACCTGTGACAATGAGACTGTCACAGGTCGGCTCAGTAGATCGGGAGGTGAGCGAACACATACCGGCGTTCGCTCACTTCTCGATCCTGTCACGGCTCAATGCCGTGACAGGGGAGGGGCTGGATTCCCCCCTCCCCGCTCCTCCAGCGCTGACTGGCGGAACGGACGGGGGAGGGGGCGGGTATAGCTGGCTCTGCCTTTAGATAGGCAGAGCCATCTGTCAGTCACGCAGCTAGGCGGATCCCGGCACAATTGTCGGGATCCTCTTCAGCAGCGGCGTCTCAGTATACCGCGAGCTACAGGTATACTGAGCCTAGGGTGACGGGAGGACGCTAGTTTGTGTCCTCCCGTTACCCTAAGGAGAACTATGGGGAAAAGCCTTAACCCCATAGTTCTCCTTTAAATGTATTCATTTTTATTTCATTTACTTCTGCTAATTGCACGAGCCTAAAAAATATTACCAGACTCATCACGATTCAAAGGAAAGCGACCACTGAACATAGCTGCCAACATGGAATCTTTGAAGCGACAGAGAGATTGTCTTCTAGCAGTAAACAGGCAGCCCCCCACATTAAGGCGAAGCAAGTCAGACATGTCCTTTACTGATTGTTCATCCATTGTGTCTGTAAAAAACAAAAGTAAACAATTATTCAGAAACAAACTACTGATTTATTTTCTATTTTTGCAGAAAGAGTTAAATCGACCCTGTCCCTATTCTAAAGAAATAAAATGGCTAAGAACCCTCTGGCTCAAAGAAACCTCCTTCAGATGCGCCCAGTGTGCTCGTTCAGGTTAATGACAGGGTGACAGCAGCAGTCTGCATGTAACTGAACATGGTATGATTACATGCGGGTCAGGATAGATGATCGTCCATAGACAAAGGGTCGGTGAGTCCATCGGCAATCATCTATCCCAAACTACATGTAATGGTGCCGTGTATGATTACATACACACTACCACTGAGGGATGCACCCACTGTCACCCCGTCATTAACTTGAATGGGCTCAGCAGCCACGTCTGAAAAGGACACCTGGGATTCCTGCTGCAGCAATCCTCAAACGCAGCATAAGTCGTCATGCGAATGGGGCCCTAGGGTGTAACATAAAAGTTTGTTCACATTCCAAACCCCCACCCTCAAACTGCTCAGCTCACACAGCCATGGCATCTATTCCTGTGAATGGAGATACGTCCAATGCCATCAACAAGGGGACTGGTGGTTCTCAGTAAAGTAGAAGTGCACTGTCCTCACTGCACTTGTAGTTTATTGATTTCTTCCTTTCTCCAGCCATATAACTTCTATAGACCTGGGGCTGGAGGAACGGTCTGCAGGATCCAGAGCATTGCACCCCTGATCCTCTGGTTGTGGTTGCAATGCTTTGTATGCTCCAATGCACAAAAATCATCAATACACATTTTTGTCTTTCATGAATGTATGTGCATTTATTATTATACTGTACATTTCTATCTATATTCTTTGGACTTTGCATGTTTCAGCTCTCACAATCCTGGTTGTGTTATGTGGCAGTTTAGTGTGTGAAATTCCAATGTAAGCACATAAAGCATACAGACACCTCCACCGATATATATATATATATAGATAGATATATATCTATCTATCTATATATATATATATATATGTTCACCTCCTGCCCCCCACCCCTCTCTACCTCTCTCTGAATGCTGGAGGAGCTTTGTTGTGTATACAGTTCTATCCGTTCATGGCATTGTATGAAGCTGAGCAACGTTACAGGAAGCGCATTAAGTGGGCGGAGCTTCTACCCTCCTCAGAATCACTATCCAATCAAGGCAACGGTAGACAGCGGACTACAAGTCCCATGAGCCTCCGCGATCCATACTTGAGCGTGAGTTGCCCTCGCAGCGCGATTGGCCAATCTGATAGATTGGCTTTTGTGACAGAACACAGGCACGGTGTTATTTCTGGCTCTCATGTCACGGAGGTTCCTGGGCTGCAGACTATTGGAGAGGCCTGTGCCGAGGGCTGTAGAATGCTTTCCATGTGTTCACTAACAGGAAGAGGAGGAAATGAGAGGGGAACTGTGGGAGGAAGGATAGAATGATGGGAGTTGTAAGCTCTGGAATGCTGTGTACAGCCACACTTCTGAGTGAGGATTCAGAGAGCATTTTTTGTATGATTTGTAACCCCTTAATGACAAAAGTGAAACAAAATGTAACACCTCATCCAAGTTCTGCAAGTTTGACATGTGTTAATAAAAGTAGACATATCTCTGCAGCTACTTAGTGTATCCAGGCGAATTATACCAGGCTTCTTCAGGATGAATTGGCCCTTCATTTGACAGTAGATGGCAATAGAGGTTTCCCGTGTTGTTTTTTATTGATAGAACACTCGCACACAATAGTAAAAAAGTTAAAAAAAGGATTAACTGTGTACTACTTGCTGTTACCATGACCCACCACCAAAACAAACACAATACATTCTACTGCCGATGTGCACGGGGATACCACATATGTACCCATAGTAAGGCCCAGAAACAAAGGCATATCCTACCTAAATACACAGACACAAACACATCGATCCTTTTTTACCCAGCCTAATGCCAACACCGACCCCAACTCCAAATCTATTATTATTAGACAGGATTTATATAGCGCCAACAGTTTGCGCAGCGCTTTACAATATAAAGACATTACAATCAATACAATTCAAGACAAGATGGTAAGGAGGGCCCTGCCCCTGAGGGCTTGCAATCTAAAAGGGAGGGGGAAGTGATACATGAGGAGGTAGCTATATGGGATGAATTGTTTGAGAATGTGATGGAACACTATCACTGAACTCAGCACTGATCCTAAAGCCACCACTGACTCTAACACTGACCATAATGCCAACCCTGACACTAGGGTTGCCACCTTTTCTTAAAGCGAAACCCGAACACTCTAGCGACACGTGGACATATTCTTTTGGGAGAATGAGTCGCAGCTTATTCATATGTAAAAGGCACCACCCATTAATATGTAAATATCACAGTTGAGACTATTTTTAGTGGGGGGCCAGTAGCATCTATCTTAATTTTGGTTGCCCCTGTCTACCTGACACCTTGTGTCCGGGTTTCTGCTGCCATGAAACCCGGACACAGCATTCAAAACCCAAACTGTCCAGGTGAATCCTGGACAGGTGGCAACCCTACCTGACACTGACCCTAATGCCAACACTATCACTGACCTTACCACTGATGCTAAAGCCAACACCAACCCTGACACTGACCATAATGCCATCCCTAACACTGACTCTAATGCCAACCCTAACACTGATCCCAATACTGACACTGATCCTAATGCCTATCCTAACATCAACACTGACCCTAATGCTAACCTTCACCCTAATGCCAACCCGAACACTGATCCTAATATTGACACGAGTTCCTGAGGGACCGTAATATTCAGGGACGATTTTTGGGCGATTTCCTGAGGGACCGTAATATTCAGGGGTACAAGTATTCCTAAGAATGAGTTGAGCGTGGACCTATATGGGTTGGACTTGATGGACTTATGTCTTTATTCAACCCCAAATACTATGTAACTATGACACTGACCCTAATGCCAACCCTAACATCGACATTGACCCTAATGCTAACATTGACCCTAATGCCAACCCTAACACATCCTAATACTGACACTGACCCTAATGCTAACCCTAACACTGATCCTAATACTGACACTGACCCTAATGCCAATCCTAACATCGACACTGACCCTAAATTTTACATTGACCCTAATGGCAACCCTAACTCTGATCCTAATACTGACACTGACCCTAATGCCAACCCTAACACCGATACTAATACTGACACTGACCCTAATGCCAACCCTAACACTGATCCTAATGCTAACATTGACCCTAATGGCAACACTGACCCGAACTCCAACACTAACACTGAACGTAACACTTGTCCTAAAGCCAAAACCAACCCTGACACTGACCCTAATGCCAACACTGACCATAATGCCATCCCTGACACTGACCCTAATACTGACACTGACCCTAATACTGACACTGACCCTAATGCCAACACTAACACTAACCCAATGCTAACATTGACCCTAATGCTAACAGTAACACTGACCCTAATGGCAACACTGACCCTAATGCTTACACTAACACTGACCCTAATGCTTACACTAACACTGACCCTAATGCTTACACTAACACTGACCCTAATGCTTACACTAACACTGACCCTAATGCTTACACTAAAATAGCGGCTCCGACCCCCGCCACTGCCTGCAGCGCCTCGTTCACTTCTTGGATCCCCGCTGCATACAGATGGGGGAGAGCAGTGGGGATCCAGAGAAGCACCACATCAGGAGGACAGGACATCGCGATCTACCAGGGATCGTTTTGCGATCAATGGTAGATCGCGATCAACCTAATGGGCACCCCTGATTTATTATATTGCTGGTTCAGCAATATATTAAACAGAATCTGGGCACCTGCCAGGTTTAAAGATGGCCGCCGCGATTCGCAGTCATGCATTAACACATGCTGGCATAGGAAGCACTTTTGCACTGTGATGCAGTGATATGCACTGAGCTGAAGATGGGAAATGCGTGTGAAATGGTAAGGTTACGTGTTTCGGGAGAAAAGGTGAAATTGATCACAAATGTGGAGACTAACAGTTGCACGTTTTAGTTGCCCTTTAAAGAAAAGCTCCGGGCAAAAATGTTCTTAACCTTTGCAGTGGGGCTACCCCCACACTGCAAGGGTTAAGCACTCGTTTTTGTCTTGGTGTGAAAATAAAAAAAGATTATACTTACCTGAACCTCACAGTCGGCTGGCTCCTAGACTGGTCCTTCCAGCGCATCCTCATGTGCAATACACCGTATATAGAACGTGAAGACTCACAGGGACTTAGACTGCTGGAGCAGAGGGAGATAGAGGCTGGAAGGACCGGTCTAATTACCAGCCAGCCACAAGGTTCAGGTGGGTGTAACTTTTTTTCACCCCTAGGCGAAAATGAGCAGTTAACTCTTGCAGTGCTGGGGCAGCCCCACTGCAAGGGATAAGACATTTTGTTGCCTAGAGTTCTTCTTAAACGAAGGTGTTAGGGATGCAAGCATCGGTGTCGGGACCGATACAGGGCATTTTGACAAGTACCTTTACTTGTCAAAATGCCCCGATACATAGCGCCGAAGCTGCCCAGAGGACCCCACTCGAAGCGCCGCCCACCGGAGCAGCATAGAAGCGACGCTCCTTTTCAGCTCAGCGCCAGCGACGTCCTTCAATGCTGGAGAGCAGTGGCGAGTCAGCGCTGGTCCGGTGGGAGGAGCTCCAGGTGGGGTCCTAATTTAGCTGGCCGGCACCTCTGCGCAGTCGCCGGCAAGCTAAATTAGGACCCCACCTGGAGCTCCTCCCACCGGACCACCGCTGACTCGTCGCTGCTCTCCCGCACATCGTGAGCAGTGAGTGAGGGTGTACTCTATATGTAGTGTAGTACATATAGAGTACACATTGCTAATACACTGCAGACAATAGATTTACAATTCTCCCCTGCTAATATGAATGGGTTAAATGATCTATAGTACATAATTGTACGTAACATGTAGTTGTACTATGGATCATTTAACCCATTCATGTTAGCAGG